GCAAAATATACAAGAGCGTGTTAAAAAAGCGACGGTAGCCCTCTACAGCTGCAAGGGGGCGATTGGGCGTAGCTGGGGGCTGTCCCCTAGCATCATGTATTGGTTATACACGGTAGTTGTTAGGCCGATTCTATTATATGGGGTCTTGGTATGGTGGCCAAGTCTCAACAGGAAATCTACAACTGAAGCACTCCAAAAGGTGCAAAGAACTGCGATGCTCTGCATCTGTGGGGCCCTGCGCACAACTCCATCAGAGGCTATGTGCGTGCTCCTCGATATTTTGCCAATTGAAATTGTTGGAAAGCAATCAGCGGGGTGTGCCGCCTTGAGGTTGAGGGAACTACCAGGCTGGAGAGACACTCAGGAAGGCCACACCGCAATCTTAAAGAACGTAAATATACCGGACACGGATTACTGTGCACCAAGGTTGAACTTCACAAAGAGGTATAGGATTTACATTCCAGATAGAAAATTCTGGTCAGGAGGGGCTCCCGATGACAATGGATCACTCCACCTCTACACCGATGGCTCTAAGCTAGACGGCAAGGTAGGAGGGGGGGTCTTCTCAGCCCGACTGGGGCTGGAAATATGATTTCGCTTACCCAACCACTGCAGCGTCTTTCAAGCTGAGGTCGCTGCCATACAGGAAGCGGTTGAACACCTACGTACAAGAGAAGTCATTTATAACGATATCTTCATCTACTCAGACAGTCAGGCCACACTCAAAGCGCTCGACTCGGTCACATGCAGTTCAAAAACCGTAGCGGACTGTCGCAGATCTCTAAACGAGATGGCTGAGCAGTCTGCACTTCACTTGGTATGGGTTCCGGGGCACCGGAACATACCAGGCAACGAAAAGGCGGACGAACTTGCAAGAGAGGGCACATCCGCTCCACTTTCGCAGGCCTGGAAGGGATTAGGCATGCCGCTCGCTACCTGCAAGCTCATTCTAAGGGATCTGTCTCTTAAACTAGCAAGGGACAGGTGGGATAGCCTCGCCACTTGCAACAACACGAAGCTTACATGGCCTAAATGGGACAAAAAGCGGTCGAAGGATCTCCTCATGCTGAGCAAAGGAGACCTAGCCGCAGTTGTGGGTCTGCTAACAGGTCATGTTGCTATCGGGGGGCACGCGGAGAGGTTAGGGATCCCCCATAACGACTTCTGCAGAAGCTGCAGAAATGAAGAAGAGCCAGAAACCTTGCGGCACCTGTTATGCGATTGCCCCGCACTTTGTAGAAGAAGACAAAAGTTCATGGGTTCAGGATTCTTTGAGGACCTAACCGACATAGCCGAAGTAGGCATACGGCAACTTCTGGGTTTCGCAAAATCCACACGATGGTTTGAGTAGGAGGGTTCTAACGATCCGCGTGGTTCACAACGGGCCCACAACCTAGGGCCTATGTGTGCTAGTGGGGTCACTGGCAGCCACATCAACCTAACCTAACCTAACCTACGTGTGAGAAAAATTTTTAAATCCTCGATAACTATTATTTTAAAACATACAACAAAAGTCTTTTTATAATAATTATCATCGAGATAAATATTTTTAAGTCTTCAAAGACTTTTATTTTGAGACTTGTATTAAAAGTCTTGTCATAATAATTATCATAGAGATAAATATTTGTAAATCGTCGAAAGATTTCTCTTTTGAGACTGATATGTAAAAGTCTTCATAATAATTATGGGTGCGAAGAGAATTTTTTAAGTCTTAAAGGACGGGGCTTGTTCAGGGCCATTTAGGGATTACTTCGCGACTATTTGGAAACCAGTTCGGAAACAGTTTTGCACTTGTTAGTAGTATGGGACCAGTTAAGCCCCAACTAGGCGCAAATTGGTTCCCAACTAATCCCGACATTGTCCTGAAAAAGCCCCGCCATTTTAGGGCTTAAAAGATTTTTTCGCACTCAAGGAACAAAAATGGGAACAAATTTTGTTGCGGCAAATGTTAAAGCTGTTTTTGATTGTCCTTTTTGCGCTGATTACGAATCCGTGAGTTTAAAGATTCCATCAGCTCAAGATTTTGAGAAAAACGAGGTCAAAGTGTCAAAAAATAGCGTTTTTTTTTTGCAATATTATTATATTATTCTTCCCTCTTATGTCCCTGGTTTCTAAAATTTCACTTAGTAATCCGAATTCATTCATAATTGACATGATTTTTAAGTGCTAAAAATAGCCGGGAAATATGTTTGTACATATGTATATGCATATACATATTGAATAACAAATAAAAAAACGTCTACTTGATAAGTGAATTAATGCTTATCACTTGAAGCATTTACAAATAAGCACACAATCGATAATCGTAAATATGTAAATGATAAGCATGAACTGAGTGGGCAGTCAGTCATACGATTGGCGGGAGGATATCTAATTACTAGGGCTTTAAATGGAAATGGTTAAGTTATCTTTACCAATCATGAAATTCCCTTTAAAATGGCATTCAATCGTTATTGCACATTTTGCAGTAAATTGAAATATTTTACAATAAGTGCATGCAGTAGTAAATTTGGTTAAAAAAAAAAACATTTTGAATAGGAATAGATTGGCGCTTCATATAACCCTGACGGTCAAATGAACCCCAGATATATGTTATATGAACGTAGAATTTTCCGTTCTTTCTGAATTCGAGATAAATAAGGGGGCTACCTACCAGTTTGAAAAAACCATGTTGACCTCGCAGGGTGGGCGAAGCGTTCAGAAAGAGAACCCCACATACATAAATGAATAATAGGCAAAATTCGTCAATGGCAACAAATTGGCGACTTCGGATTTATTGGCTCGGTGACAAATCGGCAAACAACATTTCTTTTATGTAAATTTTTGGAATAAATAAATATTATCAAAAATTCTCAAACTTATCAATTTTACATCACTTACACTTAGTCACACACACTTACGAGTAGTAAAAGCCTTCATTAAGACCCATTAAATAGACATACTCCTCATATCGGAAATCTCATTTTACTAATAAGAGCTACTTTGCAATCCCAAGCTATCGGTTCTGTCTGCCTGCACCTAGATAACAAAGCGCATGCTGGCTCGGATATTCTGGTCCGAAGCAACATTAAGCATACTCATATAAATTCATACCGCACAGAATCTATTCAGGCCACCAACATTATTGTTGAAGATATAAAGGGCCCGTTAACAATATCCATAATTTAAAATGTTTACCCGACTTAAGAGAAAGCCAATAGATCTACTGCATTAATAATTTAATAATGTTAGCTGGTTACGCACAGGAAGTGGGTTGTGTATTGGGTGCATTCCACACACGCCGTTAGAAAATTAAGAGTTAAGATAAATTAATTGTTAAATGTAAAAAATACAGATCGCTATATATAGTGGATATCAAAAAAAAAAAAAAAAAAATGCATGTCGCCTCAACGGTATTATCCAGATACGATTGAAAAACTATTAATCCTCATAGCCAGAGGAAGATATAATTCCATTTTCAAATTCCAATTTTTTGTACAAAAAATAATGGAAAAATTAAAATGAATAAAATTACTCCAAATATCGCCTCTAGATATTTTACTTATTTATAGCGCATATTTTTGACTTTTGAGTGCATATTATATGGGCATATTTTGGATTTTTAGTGCATGAGATTTCTAGCCCTAGTAATTACATTTTTTAGATAAATTGTTTGTTGTTATTGATTGCGAATTCGTTGTATATGCCTTAACCGATTTTTAATTATGTATAGTGTTATTTTACTCGTTACTTTGTTGTTGTGGAAATAACTATCCCCTTGCATTTACAACTATCATCCACAGTACTTCTCTAGTGGCTAAGTTACCAGAAAGATAAAGTTTACGAATGATAGCACAATTACATACTAAATTTCTATAACTGAAAATGTCTAGCTCAAGTATACAAATGAAGGGGTTAGAACTATAAGGGTCTAAGTGACATTTTTTGAAAATATGTATAAGTTATATTCATATTTGTATAGTTATATATAGTATTTATTTCGTGACAAAGAATACACATTCTTTGAACTAGTTAATTAACCTGCATTCATTTAGGCAAGAATCATTTCAAATGAATTTACCCAGAATTTACACTAAGTAATCAACTTTAACTTTAATTATCTTAAAACAATGTCAGACCTACTTAGATACTTTTGATTCTAAACCCTTAAAATGTATGTATGTACATTATATCTAATAAAATTTGTTTAAACACGAGTTTGTACCTATTAATGTATGTATTCATAGAAATTTTCGTCTGTAAAGATAATATGATATAAGAAAAATTGATAATTTAGCCACATCTTAAAAGCTTCAAGTTATGAAAACATTAAGTATTTTCGTAGAAACGTCCAACAGCTTCGCAAAGTTCATTATCCTTTATCGTAATGTAAACATAGTACATAGACATACTTATGTACAAATAGCATTGTGCTTGTCGGCCACACCCATGCCAAAAACCACCAAAAATTATATGTACATACATAATTTGTATAGTAATTAGTAAATAATTAGGAACCGAAAACCTAATAAAAATCGTATATCTGCTGATACTTAAATACAAAAGGAGATTAAGCCATGTATAAACATACGGATGTTTGCATTTACGTGAAACATGTACATACATACATATGTACATCTGCTTTCCCAAGAGCCAATACTCTGTACATACGAATTTTGGTACATTCAATAAGGACATACTTAATTATTGAAATTACTACTAATTCTCGTTAGATTATTATTTGATTTCGGTCGATATTGGTCGTGTTGTCCTAATTCTTCAGTAATTCGTTAATGGGTGTGTTTTTCCATCCGCATATTTTTTTTTTTTACTTTTGATGCTATACACACCCGAAGGACATTCTATTTAGAACGTCACATACATAAAGCCCTTTTCAATTTTGTACACAAATCGATGAAGGCCAGTTTTTACATATAAACCATCGGTCTTCTGATATTATTTTTTTGCTGCTACGGAATTAAGATGAAAATTAAAACTGCAATTGATGGGTTTTCACCTACCTGTCAGGTAAAAATTATTAAACTTCTGCGCCAAGTGATAGAGACGAGACAGTTTCACATTTACATCAGTCGAAGCCATCACCAAAAAACCCAGCTTCTCCGCTACGCCACTCACGGTACTTTCGAAATGCCTTTTATATAATTTTTCTGCTTCCACAAATCTTTTATAAGTTACACAAAAGAAAATTTTGTATTTATTTGAACACGAATTTCGTCAGCAGTCCCGAAAAGAACAACCAACACATTAAAAAACAACTGACTGAACTAGTGATTGCAGCAGTTAATCATTTGATTAAATTAATCGATTATTATTTCCCAATTTACACTTTAATTAGGGGTCTTCATTTGAAGTGATAAAAGAATAAATTGCTTAAAGTCTGGTTTTCATTGGGTCTTATTTAACGTCAAATGTTGTCAAAATAATGAAAACAGGTTGTCATCTGGTGACATTTGCGTTTGTTGTCATATATCACCACGCACGGTCATATAAGGTCGGTGTTATGCAGAAATTTTGTTTGGCAAACTGCGTGTAATTGTTGTTGCAGCAAACTCGGAGAGAGCGAGTTTGGCGACTCTCACAGCAAACTAATTTTGTTTGGTCAAACTGCAGCAAATTCGGTGTTGTCATATACAAGAATTTTAAATTTTGCGCGTTATGTACATCTGAAATTCTCATTTCGTGTTGGCAATAGCCATGAAAACCATAAAGAACGTGCAACCCTGTGCCAAACTCGACATAACCACCTCCGAGCAAACTAAGCAGCCGCCATTTAATTTGGCAAACAAAAGTTTGTCTGCATAACACCGACCTAAAATAACATCCAAATGAAAACGGCCCTCGCCGCTGATGTGACAGCATTTGACAACTAAAATGTATTTGCTAACATGTTGGCAATTTTGATTTCGTTTGCCATACGAACAGCTGATTCTAGCTACAATACCATGAACCAAAAATACAAGATCACGTAAGAACGCGACGTTGTATTTGTAACTGGTTTTGAGAAAAAAGTTTGCGAAAGCGGGTTCGTCAGCTGAGCGTTTGTTTACATCACAAGCACCACTATTTTACACTTTTATTCAAGTAAAGAAGAGTTAATTCAACATGACAACACATTTTAAAGCATTTTGTTGCATCATTTTACCTAAATTGTGCGTTTAAAGTGGCTGACAATAATTTTGGCTAATTTTGGTTTTCGTTGTTTTCTTTGCTTTGTTTACTATTCACTCGTTTTCCAGTGAAACAAGATGGCGTAGAACCCGCTAAAAAATCGACTTTTTTCATTCTCTTGTTCTTACGTGATCTTGTGTCTTTCGTTCATGCTACAATACGGACCGTTCAGCTACAAAAAAAAAAAAAATGCCCTGGGCATGAATCAGGTATGACGGCAATCGTCTGATTCCCACGACAGCCGGGTCTACGTAACCGGAACGACCCAGATTTATATCTGGCCAAGGACCGTCACTCCAGCAACACTCCCCAAAAAGTCTTTGGGGAATTTGTATGCTGCTACAACAACAACAACAATCGTCTGAACGATATCGTGTCGAGATTGTCTTGCTTCATAAAGATCAAAAATTGTTTGATCGTTTGTGCGATATCGTCCACTCGATTCCAGTTTTGCTTCTCCTAAAAGTAACAGTAACATGTATCAGCAACACAAATGCATAAATCAGTGTTTTGACAACATCGTTTTGTCAGTATCGTTTGAACGACTACCGTTTCAAAGTTACGTGATTCATGCCCTGATCGATAGAACCCCTCACGCTGATTTCCCCACACCCAAATTATCTGGGGCAAGCAAAACCCCAAGAAAATACAACATGTTAAACTTCAACTTTCTTAATTTTAATGTTTAATATCTCGGAAACTACCTGACCGATTAGAAAAGTATTGATGCCAATTCAAATATAAGTTTAATCGTTTTTTTACGACGTATTTACTATAACCATTTTTAAAACAAATTTTTGGTAAACGCTATTAAAAACATGTATGTATATATATACAATTTAGATTTTTACCACTACTTTCGTTAAATTTTGCACTATAACAAACTTTTCTATATAAGGTAATAACTTGTACTTTCTAAATAATATAAATTTCTGTAGCATTAATTTTGCAATTTTCTTCAAAAAAGGTAATTTATTAAAAAAAATTTATATTTTTTTGTTTTTTTTTTATTTCTGCTTGAAATTATAAAAAATCAGGAAAATGATGCACATAAACTGAATGATAAACTAATCATCTTTATTTTGACATCATTAGTTGTCTAATCGGTTATGTAGCTCATAAAATATTGATATTTCAAAATATCGAAAAATTTTACTTAACCTCGTATATGCCCTCAATTTCCCACCCGCGCCAAACAACTCTGGTAAGATTAAAATCAGCATGAAGAGCTCAACCAAATTACACCCTTGGTTTGTCTGTAGCTAAAAGGTCGGTATTCTTCACTTTTTGTAAAAAATTAACATCACATTTGACATCAGTAATGAAAACGGAATGTCAATCATCTGACAATGAAAGTTGACGACAGTCTTTGACGTGCACTCCGGTATCGAAATTTGGTCAGTTTTTTTAAATGTAATGAAAACGCATTTGACATCAAATGAACAGCTGTCAGATGAAGGCATTTTTTGACGTCAGTGATTCTGGACCAATGAAAACCAGCCTTTAATTTATCAGTTCCACCATGGTAACTAGCCATATAAGTTAAATAATAAACCGTTTTATGCAATTATTAACCAAGTCGCGTTAATGAAAGAAGGCGGATAAACTCATGGTGTAAGGCAGTCTGCACACGGTTCGTATAGCTTTAGACGCGTATAAAATTTTTTATGCAGAACGGTTCCTCTACGCCTCAAGATCTGCCCACGAAGCAAGTGATGAAAAATTATTATTTCTTTAATTAATTTTCAGTTATTTTTCTATTACTTGCACGAATTTTATTGTTTTATCGGTTTTGTTTATGAAATGCATGCACGCACACCCAAAATTGTAAACAAACTTCTTCTTCTTTCTCTTTTCTAAGCGTACGTACGCCTAGCTACCAACACTGCTGTACGCCAAGCGATTTGCAGCTAGCTTACTTTGACGAATTCGTGAAGCTGACGACTCGTATACAGCCCTCCATTTAAATGCACGTGTGCGGCATCAAAGCGTACAAACTTTCGTATGTAGCATATAATACGCATCTAAAGCTATACGACCCGTGTGCAGACTGCCTAATAATAACAAGGTGTTGTCAGTAACTTAACCTTACTGTGTTGATAGGTTTATTTCGGTCACGCATTTTAAAGTACTAGAAAAGGCACTAATTATTTACTCTTTTTAATCCGTGTTTGCATACTATTTCAAATTAAATGTATAATTACAGGCTTATAAGCCTGAATATATGTTTATACCATCGGCTCCACACAGCTGGGACATATTTTGTAACTTATAAAAAGTAAAGGCGTAAAATAAGGGAATTTCCTATAAGACTGTAAATGATTTTTTAAATAGATTAAAACACATAAATATCGATAATATAAGCGCAATCGTAATTTACCCATGCTGTCACTCTATTCTAGTGTATCAGTATATTTGGCTCGATATTATGACAATGCAGCAAAAGTTATTTAATATAAAAATCGCCTTTCCATACGATTTTTGTGTACGTCTTTTTCAATTGATAATGGCCTGTATGCAGTTCTCAAGAAAACGTTCAAAAAAATTTCCATTATTTCGTGTGTGTGTCCAAGGAATTTTGAGATTTTTGATACTTCACAGCCTGTTGCCTCACTCTTTCCTTAAGAAATAAGTGAACGGGCATATATTTCTGTTACAAACCATATTAATATCGTTCTGAAAACACCAAGTTCTTTAAAAATCGTGATGAAACGAATTACTAAAATGGACTCTTTTAGATACTATTTCCCAACGAATAGTACTATAAAAATTAAGATCGGCAGCACTGAAAATAAGCATGCCGATGTTGTCAAAATTACAACAAACACGTCGCTACTGACAACACTTTTTTATTATTCCACCATGCCCAAGTAGGAATGTTCGATATCGTATCGATTATTCTGAATATCGATATTTCATGGCACGATAACCGATTTTTTTAATCTACTATTTTTAATCCGAGGTCAAAGTCGATATATCGAAGACATCGATACTTTACCCGCAATATCGATATTTAAGTTGAAATTTATTTTTAATTTACAAAAAATTTTATGGGAAAATACTAAAGCAGGTTTAATCAGCAGCTTGCGTGATTTATTTAGCTCATAAATTTGACAAACCAAAGATGGAAATAACACAATTAGGTGGGTTGACAGGCATGTCTAATATTATATTCAATTGGGAGTAGGATTTTCAATATCGATTTTCCCGATATCGATATTGTTCAGCCCGATATATCGCCATATCGTTTTTACATGCAATGAATTAAATCGATTCATGATATCGATACTTTCTGAAATATCGAACATTCCTATGCCCAAGACGCATCAATACTACAATGTGTGCCTTGCGATTATTTTTTTTACTATATCGAGTGGGGATTAGAAAATGAGTTGCCGAGCGCATTTTTGACCTGTCACTTTTGATTTTGACAGTCTTGCAATTGTTTGATTGAAATGTTTTTTTTTTTTTATATATATTATAATAAGGGCCTTTTAATAATGCATTAATCAGAAACATTTTGGTGTTGTTAATCACTCAATATTAATGTTTATGTAAGCACATAAAATTAACCCTTAACTTTTTGAATCATGTACTTGGAATTTTTTCTTTTCTTCACGTTCGCAATGGTATGGCTCTGAAATATCATGGTGAATACCTTATTTACGTTCTTTTTCGTCAAGTTTCTGCGCACATGTGTTTGAAGTTTCTACTGTCAAAGCAGTTGGGTTGAAGACATTAGGAAAATTCCACAAGCTTTTATCGGGGAAAAAATTGGCTAGATTCTTAAAGAAAATTTGAGTTAAAATACATAAATAACGTGAAAATAACAATGAGCGAAGACTACTTAAGTCAACCACTATCGCTGGGGTCGTCATCAACAGGTAAGCGCGTTCAAAAGCTTGGAAAGATTTGTCACGCCATACAGGGTGTACATTACGCAATTGTCGTGTCTAGTGGAAAATAACAATGCACTTTAATAATAGATTATGAATTAACATATGTATTTTTTCATCATACAAAACAACAGATGAAGCACGCACGAATCGATCGAGTGGAGCGTCATCCGGTACAAGCACATTTAGTACCCCTATATCACCATATCTAAATTACGACCCGCGTTTCCTGCAACAAGCGCAACCAGAATTTATTTTTCCGGAAGGCGCCAATAAGCAACGTGGACGCTTCGAACTAGCATTTTCACAGATTGGAAGTTCTGTGATAGTTGGGGCGGGAATCGGTGGGTTGGCTGGATTTTACAATGGTCTTCAAACAACCACCGCATTGAAACAGGCCGGAAAATTGAGACGAACACAGTAATATGACTGATTTTGAACTATTGCTATATATGTACATATGTATATAATTTATTTTACGAAACAATTGCTTTTCTTTCATCAACCAGACTGCTCAATCATGTGATGAAACAAGGCTCAGGCACTGCAAACACTCTGGGGACAATAGCCGTGATGTATTCCGCTTTCGGTGTACTGCTGCAAAGTGTACGCGGTGAAGACGATGATATTAACACGGTTATCGCTGGCACAGCTACGGGATTGTTGTACAAATCTACAGGTTAGAGTAATTGCAGATTTTTTTCGAAGCAATTAATGTTATACAACAATTTCTGCTTTCATAATACAGCCGGTCTTAGAAGGTGCGCAATCGGTGGAGGTGTAGGACTTGGTATAACAACGCTTTATTGTCTCTTCCAATTTATGCGGTCGAGTTCCGGCGGGTCTAATTTGAAATTCCTGTAAAGTCACAAGTGTTTCAAAAATTGAAGTGGATGTAGTAAACTGACTGCATTATTTTGTATACATATACGAATGGTAGTTAGCTGCTGGTAGTGACATATGTAACTCCAGATCGTGGAGATGAATGGAGTTGCGTTATTCCTCTATGTAACGCGCTCAAACGTACATAGCAAATCTAAGTTGTAAGTTTCCCTTGTTTTCTAATTTTTATTTTTTTTTTAATTGTATTAGTTACTAGAACGTGATGAGTTAAGTTGAACAAAATAATACCGAAGACACTTTGCTTAGTAAGCAAAAATGATAAAATACTGAAAAAATAACACAACTATACTTTAAATTTTTTGTGTAATCCAGGGGAGTATGTTTTTGCGGTGTATGTATGTAAATTAAAAATAGTGGTACAACAAATTGTAGAACTAAACACAATTGAAAAAAAACACACACCGAAATAAAACAAAACGCTTTGCCAATGCTGTGTTTTTTTTTCTGAAATAATCAATAAATTAATTTTGTTAGACAAAAGGAAGTTAACGAAATTTAAAATAACTTTATAATGTATGCAACAAAATTATGCAATTTCTCATTAATTTAGCAGAGAAATTATACGGGGTATTTAAAACTTTTTTAGTTTTATTTGCTCAATACATATAAATACAATAATTAATATAATACACAATTTTTACAAATATAAATATTTCCTATGAAAGCCCTACATCGCCGCACTCAACTGATAACCTGATAACAGCTGATAAGAATAGGTAAAATCAACAAAATTAAATTTAATAATCCAAGACATCGGAATCTGAACCAGTTAACGCCAACACTTTCACACCGGATCGCTCATCCAGTATATTATTAACAGGCGCCTCGCAACTGGTATCCAGAGAGGAGCAAGTATGGCAATGGCAGCTGCCTGCTTCCATATACTCATAGCGGCGTGCTTCCTAAACGAATGCAATAATTAAGACGCTACTAGCCAATTTAAATTAAAAACAACTCACCTCACTGGCTTCCGGATGACAATTTCTCAACAACGCTACTGCTGGTTGGCGCGTAGCATGTACACAAACCGGATGAAATGAGCGTTTATATGGAAATCTCCAATCGGAAATTTCACTGGAGTCACAACGACCCCAACAAGAACGTACACTCACATAATCCCAACATTCACGACCCTGTGCGTCAGCCTGTGTGATGCGGTATGTGTAGAGACGCTGATGACAGCCCAATGGCGCAGCGGTGGGACTGCTATTGATGGGTTGCGCCTCCAGCACTTGGCTCAAAGCAGATGTTGAGAAGGAAATAAATGCGACAAGTGCAAAAGCGTTGAAATATTGATACTATATGCAAGTAAAAATGAAATAATAACAGCTTGTTTAAATTTCACAGAAAATGTTCGAGTATGTAATCGTTTTTACCATTTCAACAACGATTTCACGCCTAGTATAAGTCTGTACTGCGCACAGCCTGGCGAGTTGTTACCTACAACAGCGTAGTAATCGAAATGACATGCATTTGCCTGTTGCGCGAGTCTTTTATACGTTTTTGTTTTTATTAATTATTCTATGTATGAAATACCAAACCAAGGACAGTAGAGCACACAGCAGTCCTGTTTTGAGTATAAGGATTAACGGAAATTTCAAATGTGTTGTGCGACTTAACATGATTGTTATACACACGCGTACATACATACGTAAATACATACATGCATAAGTTAATGTCTGCTAGAGTACGGAGATGTATGTACGTAAGCAGGACTTTTTAATGCGTCTAGCTTGCAAAGAAATCGGAATTCATTGACATAGCGCATTTTTTTTCGAGATGTAATCATTAATTAGGGATATGCACTGAAATATATCATCAAAAGTAAGAGGTACATGTAGTCTTTTATCCTTAATTGTTTTTACATATTTTACACCAAGATACATCGAGTCGTATGAGAAACTTATTGGCAAATCGGCAGGTCTAACGAATGATCTACGAGTACAACTCCACAAGAAGTTGTAGCTTTAGCTGTAAGCCTGAAACTCATTAAAGCTCGGAAAAGCGCATTGTGTAGTTATATTCTAAGCATTCGCTCAAATTTCCATAACAGATATTTCAATTTGGAGATTCGACAACTAATGAATCCGCGCAAGCAAAAAAACAAGGTAGAAGCATACCAAGACATCCAACTCTGTTTAAATAAGCTGTGATTAACCGTCCAAATTGACCAGGCATGATGGGGGATTGAAATTCTTGATCGCCGATTGGGCTTTGTTGCCGCCTATTATTTAGTTAATAAAGTCCAAGCGACGAGTTGCTGTTGTAGCTGCACTGCCCAGTTCAGCTGGTCTATAAATCGTTGGCGACAAGCTGAACTAACAGTAGGCCCAGGAAACGTGCTGTTGCGACTGAGTCGTGCCAGATGAAGAGGTGTTATCTGGGTGAGTTTAAGAGAGCAGCAAGCTAGCAGGCGGTGGTGTTATATCGGATGCCTTCACGAGCCGGTCATATATTTGCTATGCTGTGGTCAAGTTTCGATAAAACGTTTAACGAGTTTAACCTCTCTCAAATAAGCTGAAGCTCTTCGTCAGCGATAGCTAGTTGAAGGACCAAAACCAGTACAAAAATTCAGTGCACTTCTGACTTTCAATAGCCGCTACAACAACAATTACAGCGACAATAGTAACCTATTGGCTGAATACGTGTACGCTTAGATCTGTTGCTTTTGGCGGGGTCTATTTTTACGTTTTTCGTGTTTTCTTTGGCATTTACAGTCGGATCTTAATATATGATACATATATTGATGCTTTTGTCTTGAGACAATTTCGAAATTTTTTCTTTTGCCGAATGTAGGGGTCGAATTGCAAAATTTATTGTAATATCGTCGATATTTACAGTCGGATCTAAAAATATGATATATCAATGTTTTTATCTGGAAGGGGAAATTTTTTTGTTCCAAAGCTCATTGACCAAACCTAATCAAAATAACGAGATTTTTGAAGCTGTTTTTTTTTAACTTTTTTAATTTTTTTTTAGAAAAACTTAAGTAACTGGACCAAAACTATACCGATTTAGACGTATGAGGTATCAGTAGAAAGGTATTTTCTCACCTGTTTTATTTCTTTGCAAAAAAACTCATTCATGTCTCAATTTTTGGAATGACGCTCGTTCATTTTACATTTCTCTTTCATACTTTGAATTAAATTATTTGCAAGGCATTAAAAAAAAGGTGACAAAATATATGCCGTTTTCTCAAGTAGATTTTAAAATTTATCTGCCCTTCAAAAACATTTTTCAGAACAAAATTTGTGTTTAAGGGCAGATAAATTTTAAAAACTACTTGAAAAGGCGGCCCTAAATCGGTAAAGTTTTGGCCGAGTTATTTAAGTTTTTCTTAAACCAATCTTTGAAAAAAGTTCAAAAACAGCATCAAAAATCTCATTATAAGGATTCTGTGGAAGTGTTTTAAGATATGTTTATGCAAATTTTTTTAAGGTTAAACTGTTTTGCCATCTGAGGTGATTTTTTTCCTAAGAATAATTAAAAAAATTTAATTTTTTAATAAATAAAAAACTAAATTAAAACTATGTAAACTAAATCTTAATAATATTCCGAAATATTTTGGTGCAATCTTAAAATATAATAGATTTTATAATTATGTACAATGGAAAAAAGGAACCGATTTTATTTTTTTTTTTTTGGGAGTGATTCAGTCTAATGTAAATACTATATACATATGTGCATATACAAACATATGTATACCGATAACAATAAAGCCCACCCAGTGGTATAATGGGTCGTATGAATAAAAAAGCAATTGCTTTTTCTTAAAATTTCAGACCTTTCACTCGATTTATTAAAAAAAAAAAATGAAGTAAAAGGTATGCAATTTTAAGAAAAAGCATTTGCTTAGTTTTTATTCATACGGCCCATTATCTCGAAAACGAAAAAAAAAAAATTAAATGATATGCCAACTTTTTTGGGCTATAGTTTTTTACGTTACCAAGTTTTATTAATTTTGATTTTATAAATATCACTAAATAAAATTTAGTACAATTGAAAAAAATTTTGTTTACAATACATTCATATGTCGTAAAATTGTGATTGAAAAAGTCTAAAAAAATCATCCTTTTTGCTCACCGGTATTTGCTACACTAAGTTCGCTCACTTGAATTCAATCGCTACTCATCAACCTTGATTATTCACCCATTTAATACTTTGCGTTATCAGGCCATCCATTGTTATCACTCTTGCTAGGTGTAAAAATTTTGTCATCAATCCATTGATTTCAATTTGTTCTTCCCTCTTGCTCATTGGTTTAATAAGACACATATATTTGTAATTGATTCTGGTTTCTGGTAAGCCAAAAAAATCCGCTTTGATTTTTTTATGTATGTATGTATACTATTCCTCATCCGGTACATTCACTCATTCATATTACAAAGAATTTCTCATTTATGTAAATTTTTTTATCACTTCGTAATTGAAGATACAGCTTATGCTTAAAACGTTAAATTTAACTTATTACTGTTAGTAAAAGATACAAACATACAAAGATACTTACATGCATTACTTTAGGCCCTTCGTCGTATCTCATGTTGCGAACCGAAACGTTGCGCTCTCAATTGCACGCGGAAACGCCGATTCGGATCGGGATGCTGATCTTCATGACGATCCTCAATTACCGGTGCAAGCGCTGCAGCTGCATCTACCTCATCGTCGGCATCATCATCCTCGTTTGGGCTATCGTAATCGTCCATAGCGGCATCTTGTGTCTCCACTGAGGCATTCGATACGGAGATCGTCTCCGCATCGCGTGCCATGGCGCTTGCTAGCAGCCGCTGACGACGTTCCTCCATCAACCGATCGCGTTCCTTGTGTATGTAGTCACGTTTATTTGGCAATCCAGCTACATTGTTGGCTGTGAGAGCCGAACGTACTACATTCATATCGGTCGCTTCCATCCTGTGGATGGAAAATCAATTTTTAAATATATATATTTTTTATTGAAAACCCATTTCACCTTACCACTCATCAGTCTCGGCCACATAGCATTCTGTGTGTGAAATGGTTGAGACGCCATTAAAACCGCCGATAGCGAAAATCATATCATCTATTATTTCTAGTCCAAAATTGCTACGAGAGTGATTCATTTCGCGTATAAACGACCACGATTGCGCATCGGGATCGTAACGTTCGCCAGTGGATAGACGCGCAGTACCATTAAAGCCGCCAATCACATAAAGCTGTCCACGAAAGGCCACACAGGATACGCCCGAACGACGATGATTCATATTGGGTATGCGCGTCCAAACGTTGGTGGCCGGATCATAAGATTCGGCGCTATCTAAACATTCCTGCCCATTGAAACCACCTGCAGTGGGGAAACAAAGAGAAACCATTTATTTTCAGGGATCAGCACTAACTATGTGGAAGATGAGTTAACAACTTAAAAGCGTACGCAAGTTTTCTCAATTGCTCTCCCAGAAAGAGAAACGCAACAATAACCACTGGAAGAAAAGTGCTAGAACGATGAATCCGCCTTAAGTTTTCATCCTGTAAGTTTCTTGTCTATTGATGCTTTAAAAAATAAAATTGTTTATTTTCTTTCCTGCCTGTCCTGTCTGCCTTCGTCTTTTCTAAACGCGTCTGTCACTGTTTTACCTACTCGTATTTCAAATATAATTGCTTCTATGTATTTGTTGTTTCTACTGCCATGGAAAAGAATTGGACGAGGAATGATGGACATTTTTGGAACGAATTTACATAGTATTTTATAGTTTTTAGAAACTGTTACCCAACGGATGATGTATCATAGCCTTAGGTATGAATTGGGCTTCCAGATATATATCTGTTCGTTACAATCCCTCTCGCTCTATGCCTTTCGAGTATAGCCCACGTTTCTATGAGACTAGGCAAAAAGCCTCTTACCTGCCTACTTTTATAACAAGTTTTCGACAAGAATCTCCGTTAGGAGCAAATCTTCAGCGAATTAATGAAAACAGATTTGAGTCTCTAGTTCTCCTTGATCGTCTGTCCGTAAAGGTGGTAAAGAGCATTGAAAACTTTCTCTGGCACTGTCCTGCCTATACCTAAATACTACAACATAATCTGAAGCATCTCTTAAAGGACTAATGAATCCTTGCTATTTACTCAGAATTTGCATTAATTTCTGGCATCGAATCAAAAAAAGTACTTTCAAAGGACAAGTTAGACTTTTGGAAAAATAAATAAAGTCAAAGGACAAAATCGTGAGAAAAAAGGCTGCCCTTTGAAATAAAGTAGCATGGTCACCGTACTAATGAGCAGAAGACTTTTCCATCCTATAAAAAAAAAAGCCTCCACCGCTGGCACCGTCCAATGAGGCGACCGTTGGAATATTTGGTAGGAAGATTTTGCGGAATACTTGCTGATCTTTACGCATTGGACACAGCAAAAACTGGATCTATGAACTGTATGAACCTATCAACGAAATTTAAAATGTGGGTGGGTGCGTGGGCGGCTACATCGTCAAACAGCGCTAATCTCACCACGCGTACTGCGATAATGGAGACAGTTTTACAAAAAAGAAGTACATGTCGGATCTTCTAGGCGAACGATGTTTTTATTGGTCGGGTTTATGTGGCGGATTCTAAGCTAGGTCCACAATCTATTAGTGGGTGAGTTCTAAATAAGTTAATAGGAACACATTTTTTCGAAACAAGCATTATATGTATGTAAATAAGAACCAAATCGGAACATAAATTAGGTTATTCCTTTTTATGTGATTAATACAGATATATTCAAATATAAACTCAATCCTACCATGGATGCATGTTTTAAAAATATATCGACACCCGCGCCACCTACCGGCTAAATTTCTAGTGGAGATATTTCCTTCACATAGGCAATTTGTATATGTACATTAGGGTAGTCAAAAAAAAAAGTGAAGCCGTAATTTTAATGCTCTCACCCCTAGGATTGTTCTATATTATTTTGAAATCAAAAAAATATTTAAAGGTCACTCAAAGCGCTCAAAGTTTTCCATGTATTTTATATGGAAAAAAAGTCTTCGTTAAACTTCGTTTCTCTTCAGGAGATTTCCAGTAACAATACCCATAGGTTGATTTAACCATTTTCAATTGTTAACTATTTTTTATAGGACCCCTAATGACCTCAAATGGGTTCCCCATTGCATTTTTTGTGGTTTTTAGGGGTCCTATAAGAAAAAGTGTATAATAGAAAATGGTTAAATAAACATTGAGTTATTGGAAAATTTCTGAAGAGAAATGGAATTTCGCGATCGAAAGAAAATGATTTTCATGAATTTTATAAAATTTTTTTTTGTTTATATACTTTGAGCGACTTCTAAATATTTTTTTATTTAAAAAAAAAAAAAAAACAGGGGTAAAGTTTTTTTCGATATAGTCTTCTATCCTAGGGGTGAGAGCATTAAAATGCCACCTTTAGTTTTTCACATGCATTTATGGGCCACCCTATTGTACATATATACATACATAAAATATCAATTGGACTATAAACATCGGGTTTTTTCATATATCTCAACTCCTGTGCCACCCAATGGGTTATTCATCTTTGATATTGCATCTCGTCGTGTTCTAAGTTAGGTTTGAAATTTCACGTCTCTAGCTCATCGGGAAATTGGTTAAAATTAATGGATTGACCAATACATATTTATTTACATACATATTATGTACATATAAAGCAAGTTAAATAAAAGCTTGTTAAAGTGAAATTCGCGGCGTTTACTCAAATCTATTAAAAAACTTTAAAACTTATTGGCCTTAGTGCCGTCTCCACAGTGGGGAGTTAACTAAAATTCGGCAGTTAACAAATAATAAATTCATAAGCGTTTAAAGTACAGACAAAGAAGTATTTTCAGTTTAAATAAATGCAAGAATAATTGACGCGTAAGCAAATAAGAGTAAGTGAAAAAATGTACATATTTCCTAAGAAACCTTGAAACGAAAGTGAATGCTACTTTTACTTCTTTTTCACAATTGCGTCGCAGCTAGCAGCTTAACGGCTAAAAATAAACATGCAAATTTAATCCTAAAATAAACCATTAACTATAAATAAAATTGCAAAAAAAAAAAAATAAAAAATTAAAATCCGTAAAAGCATGAACACTCGAATGCGACGCTGCAGCGATTTCACCCTCTTCACCATCTTCCCCCTCCCTTAGCGCTTTCCACTTACCCGTTGTATAAATTTTCCCCCTCAACGTGCATGCGCTTGCGTCAGATCTTTGCATATTCATCGATGTTATAACGGTCCACTGATTTGTCTTCGGATTATAACGCTCGACCGTATTTAAGCGATTATGACCATCGTAACCGCCAATTGCGTAGATAAGACCGTTAAGTTCAGCCACGCTCACATAGCAGCGACGACAATGCATTGGCGCAATCTAACAAAACCAAGAAGAAGCAAAAAATAAAACTGAGACACAAAAAAGATTGGGCGGTGCGGAGAAAACATAAAAATCCGCATATTAATTACACACTATATTTACTCTAGATTTGTATTTTTACTCATACCTCCTTCCAGTTCTTTCGCACCGCATCAAATACCCGACATGTATTAAAGTATTCCACGCCATCATACCCACCAATCGAATAGATTTTATAACCAATGACGGCGGTGCCATGATAGGCACGCGGTCCAGCTGGATCCTCGGCTGGTATATTCACCCAACGATCGGCGCGTGTGTCATAGGTCTCAATGCAGCCCTTCGAAGTGCCACCGCTCCAGCCGCCTATGGCAAAGATGACCTCATGTGGCAGGCGTGGCATTGCTAATGGTGGTGTTGTGAGCTTTTTAGAAAATGGCATACGAAATGGCACATATAAATTTGAGCTGAGCGGGAAAAGAGAGTAGAGCATAGCATTTGTTTTTTTCGTAAATACCTCGCCCGATGATGGATTCATTATATCCAAATCATACATAAATTTAAATGTCTCAACAATCAATGGTTTGGCGTCGTCACACTGCAACACATACGGATGCTCTTTCACCTCTTCCATGAAGCACTGAAAAGGTGCAGTGAATGATTTTTATTATTTTACTATACGATAAGTGTGTAATCTGCAGGAAAGTGTACTAAATAATTTTTCAATTTCAACTATAAATCAGTTTGGTAGGGCCAAAAATCATTTCGAAGCATTGAATTTTTGTGTTTTGAATCCATTGACCTTATGATTTGAGTACGACCTTCGACGAAGTAAATTAGGTAGAGTCTAAAGATCTATACGATTTGTTGGACATCGAGTGGGCTATCTCCAGTGCATTCCAGTCACATTTCGCACCTGTACTTGTATAAGAGCCATTCGAGCGTGTCCAGAGAGAAGCGCCCTTCCGCCCATATCAACATATGAAATGAATCCCAGAAGTTGTGAACATATGCTGAAGAGAGTTGCACTCAAACTCTCCCAAAGTAATTCTTCTGTACTACTGGCAATTTGCGTTTTACGACCCTACAACTATGTAGTAATTATAGGCCTTCTGCCGTGAATGCCAATAGCAGAGTTAACGTGCCTCGCCTGAAGACATCCAGTCACCCTCTCTGGCGAAATTATTGTCTGCCTTAAATTCTGGGATATTTCGATGACAACGAACCCAAAATTGTTCTACCGAGAGGTGGGAGCAAACCCTGATTAATACGGTTTGGTAAAACCTCTTTGATTTGATTGTAAAAGAAGCCAAGGAAATGGCTTGTAAGATAGTGTGAAAAGACTACTCCGCGTTTATTTGGAACCTGCGGTGTAAAGGTGGAAGTCCCAGGTAGATATGTATATCCGACTTTGTATTTCGCTTTCTGAATTTTAATTTTCGAATAAAATTTTTATGTGTACCGGGTGTCCTGCACCACCCGTTCACTCCTTTAAAAATGGAGGAATATGGTTTTTTATCCAGCCTGTTAAACACACTCAGAGCCGAAACCGGAAGACGGTAATACGCCCAAAAGATACGAGAATCCTTAACTAAGTAGTTCATATTTTTGCGTTATCCAATAATAATAAAAAAAAAAAACATTTTCCTCCATTTTAGAAAGGCATGACGGGTGCTCTAGGACATCCGTTATATGTACATATTATGTCGATTCCAAGATAGATAAAATTACGGGGACAATTGCATATTAACTTGCCACTTTAATGAACCGTACTGAAGTCAAGAGGTTAACTATTTACAAACTTCTTGAGTAGTGTTTTAACACCCTTCAGTTTATGGGAATAGATTCCCAATCACTTTTTTTTTAGCAAAATTCGTCAACGAACCTGAGAAGGATCGGAAAGCGTATTTACCGGATCGGAACCACTTTACGAATACTTTGGCATTTTAGCATACAATTTCAGAGGTTAAAGGTGAACTCAGAACGCACTAACTACCATGGAACAGGCGGTTGTTTACTTGATAGAAAGCAAATAAATCCGTTTGCTGATGCCAATATTAAGTTTCTCACTCCGGATAGGTCCTTTTGTACTGAAACAGGTGAAAGCTCCCTTAGAACAGTTTCCCTTCAACTGATCTTTTATTCCATATGTACCTAAAGCCTACAACTCCATGTAATTTTTAGGCAGCATTACGAAGACTAATTATGTGATTTATGATAATCTATATATTAATGGGCTAACATAAATGTTTGTTCGTTTTAGTTTGGCAGTGCTACTGGGCCGATTTTTGAATCAAAAACACTATTCGAAAGATATTTTTTTTTGTGGAAGGCAAGAATATTAAGACAATCACGGTCACGAATTTAACTATGAGGAATACCAAGAGCAAAACGAATACGAATACGAATACGAATACAACGATTAACAGGAGAATAAAGAATACGAAGACAAATACGACAACGTAGATTAAAACCAACCAAAGACGAATCCGCAGAAGAATACGAAGATAACTATGTAGCTATGTATTTGACGTGCATACGACGCCGAGGAAGAATACGAGACGAACACGAATACGAACACAAATATGAAAACGAACACGGAGAAGAATTGGAATTCGAAGACGAAAATGAGGACGAACACCAACACGAATACGAAGAATATTGCGAAGATGAGTACGAAGATAAATGCGAAGGCTTACAAGGACACACAAACGAATACGAAGAATAACCGAAGACGAATACGAAGACCAGCACGAATATGAATACGAACACGAAAACGAAAACGAATACGGAGACGAATTTGAATTCAAAGACGAAAACGAGGACAATTGCAACACGAATACGAAGAATATTGCGAAGATGACTACGAAGACAAATGCGAAGGCCAAGACGAACACAAATACGGAAAGAAATAGGAACACAAAAACGAATACGAAGAATAACCAAAGACGAATACAAATACAAGGACGAATACGAAGACAAAGACCGTTTTAGATTATTCCTTTTTTTATCGTAAGGGGAGTCCCATACTAATTTGGTTTAATTCCGATCATTGTGTCATGAAGAAATTAACGATACTACTAAATTTGTATATTAGAACTGAAGTCGATTGTATTGTTTGCTTGAAAATTAATTGTTTATCTTTTGTTTCTGTCTTGGGTTTTTTAATATGCTTTCACATTTTGTTTCGTTTTGTGTTTTTTTTTTTTTTGTTTTTGCTTCTGGAGAGTTTTTGTGGTTTCAAAATTGGTTGAAAAATGCGTCAGGCTCTCGTCATTTGTCTGACTATCAAAAAGTTTTTACAAAAAAAAGGTTGCTTATATCGAAAATGACAGCCGTTAAACTTTAAGGTAAATAACTGGCACTTCTTGTTGTTATTAAATAATCAAGCTAGCCTTACATAGCACTGTTTTTAGAAAGTATTAAAAAAACGAAGCTAGTATCTACATAGAAAGTAAGCGAAATAATGTTTCTGATTTCATTAGTAACACACCACTTCGTTGCCAATAGACTATCCTGCAGGGCTATTGCAAAAATATTTGTAGATGTTCTAGATATGTATGTTTGCATCTCAAGCATGAATGAAGGTCGTTTAGCATATATGTATTACCTTCGGTGTCATCAAACCCAAGCGTACACCCTGCATCAGCTGTGCAACATATTGCTTTCGATTTTCTGGGTCGCGATCGATCCACTTGATGCACAACTTCCATACATGGTCCTCCTCACGTGTATTCAGCTCATCGTCGCTAATGATATCATAGAAATCCTTTAAACCGATTTCGAGTATATCCTTATTTTTAGCGGCAACCTCAATGAAGTAGCGCAGCAGATAGTTACGCGCTTTGGCATATAAATCATCAAGAAAGCGAAATCTATACAACGTCAAATGCAGCGTCGGGGATTAATAAGAGATTTATTTATGTATGTACATACGTTGATGTATGCATAAGCTATAGTATAGATGTAAGGTAGTTAACAATAAAAAAAAAATGCACAATCATTTGTTTATAAGCGTATGCACATATGTGTGTATGTATGCATGCAATGCAATCATCCATCCGCATCACAAATATGTATGTGCATTTGCGCGCTCTTCAAATATGTGCCAAGTGCATTAAGTACCAATTACTTTCACTTCCAATGCAATGCAAACCATACCCGCATGCACTACATATGTACATACATATCTACTTACGTACGAGTATCTTTATACATACATATATATATATGTATGTACGTGTACAACTTACTTTGCGAATCCCATTATGCTCACACAATTCTCAGGCGTTAACATTGTAGCGAGTTGTTGCTTGCACTGCGTCACCAGTCCCATCATACCCACATAATCGGCCGATATGAGTAGTTCATGTACATTGTCCGCATTGATGGTGCACTTGCGCAGGTAAGCATACTGAATCAATTGCTCCATAATTGCTCCACTCATGCCTGGTATGTATACTGACCGATTCTCGTCACTTTTCTCTGGTGATGATGTTGAATTGAAGCCGGTGAATTGCGCTCTTAAAAATTGAGGAAATATATTTTAAAAAAAAAAAGTCTATTCAATATGCTGTACTGAGATATTTTCTGCCTTAAAATAATTCAAATTGAGAAAGGGTTCTATGAAATGGTGTATTAACTAAAAGAAAGTATGCATTCCTATTTTTAAAGGAAACTCACAGGAAGGAGGAGGTTTTGGATCTGTCGAAAAATCTTCGCACAGTTTAGGTTAGGTTAATCTTACCGGCATTGAGCCACACATACACCGATAGGTCCTTAGCGTTGCCAGTTTGAGTTCAATTTTAGGCGTTAAAATAGACATCAGAAAGCATGCCAACGCTTTTTAACCAATTTGAGCTCTACTTTTGGGATGTCTTCTAACTTCACGAACTGAAAGGCTCCTAAGCATTTTAGTCGTGTTTTTGAAAGTGCGAATATTGTCATAGAACATGCTCTAAGGTTTCCTTTGTCTCCCGATAATGATGACACTTCCTGCACCTGTCCACCTATTATTTGTGCATGAGCAGCCACCAGGATATGTCCCGTAAGCTATTCGGTAGCAACTCTGCAATCTTTTGTCGACAACCGCAACAAGAGTCGAGTATGGTTTGTCTGCCTCGGAGCCTTATAGCTTCTTGTGAAGAGTATCAGGTCCGTTTTGTTTAAGATTACCCCTAGCCCCGCTCGAGATGCGTACTGGCTAATCACTTTCCGGACACTGTTCATTACGTTACTGATAGTGTCTATGTAGGTGCTTCCAGGTCTGCTAGGTCTGCTTTTCCCTCGAATTCTTTTAGTAATTTGTTGACCGCTAATAGCCATAATAGTGGTGAGAGTACACCACCTTGCGGTGTGTCTCTGCATGCCCGCCTGTTTACCCTAGCGCCGTTGCACTACGCTCTTTTTTTCCTGTGACTTTAAAGGCTTTTAATCCACAAAGGATTGGTGGTTCGAAAAAATAGTGTCGCACTTATGGGTCTTTATAAGTTTGAGAAAAATTGGTTGCTCTTGCCTGCCTTGTGTATAAAAATAGGCCTCGCTTCTCTCCACAATCCCGGCACATAGCCCAGCCTCAAACGAAACAAAAAACTCAGCAATGGTAACACCAGGTTACTACCCTTCTGGAGCAACGCAGGGAATATTTCGTCTAATCCCGGGGCTTTGACGGGATGCTATTCGCTATACCAAGTCCACGCATTCTGGAAAGTGCAAATTCACCAGGACTTCTAGCGACTCCGCGCAGGAATTATGTAGTTTATACCCGCAACTTTTACGTATAAGGCTAGGCGAACTCGGATTCGGTTTAATTATCAAATTATCACTGAAGTCCCACCACGATTTGTTTTTTGCCTTTCGCACTACTCGATTATATAATTTAAGTAAGTCCTTGTATTCACCCCAGCAAACTTCATTATCGCCTGCTTTGGCAAATTTGAAGCTTTCGCATTATTGTGATCCCAACTCGTTATAACACCATTAGATCCACGCTTATATCCCCCAAAGTTGGGCTAAAGCGGAATTCTGGCACTTATTTTAGTGACCGACACTCATCGGTGTTAAATTTCGATAACTCAAAACACCGTCTTCCACCTGAGGGCATTTTTTTATCCCATATCAATGGATGCTTGATTTTGACATTGATGAGTTTTTTTCGAGGCGACTGGATACCTATGGGGTCCGTGAATCGCACGGAATATAACAACTTCTAGTACGAAATTTCCAGTTACCAATCCGGATGAAGGGATCAATAAGACCTTAGGCAAGCTCAAGATCAAGCTGAACCCTAAGGCATACGATTCGATGACGCGGACCGTTAAGAACCTGGATCTTTTAGAGGTCCCCTTTGACAACTTCCTCCTGTTTAAGGAGATCTTATGTCTAGAACCACTAAGATGTCACTAATTTCGCCATTAGACGATGTTAATTCGGATTCATCGTTTTAGTTCAGAACTTTTCTTCCGATGAACACCGCCTTTAAGGATTGTCTTCTTTATATCTCAAGTGAATTATGAACTTCAATATCAACAGTCGCACGACAGAAGCGGCGTCTAGAAAAGGGATGGGCTAGAAATGTGAGCATTTCGCTGAAGATCATCCTAAGTTAGGTGAGGTTAAACTCAAACAATGTCAAATTTTTGGCGAATTCAAATAGTACCACCAGTGAGATGGTGGCTAAGCTATTCAGGCCCTTAAATAAATGTTTTTACAGAAAACTGAAACGAATTATTTGTGGCACAGAACTTGGCCAATAGACCAGTTAGCATTGCCGCTTTGTGCTTCGCTTCGACGCGTCTTCGCGTTTGCCGTTCATCGAGCGATGACCAGTGGGATCGGGATACGCTGCCTGTGTCCAGATTAGTCCAACTGATCTTAGGAGCTACTTTGGCCTTATCGTCGACTTGTGAGACTAGAAATCTTAGATGGCGTTGTATGCTTGAACTTGGTTGGTCTAGTCTTATAGGAGGCCCTTTTCTCTCGCGCTAGTTCGCTTCCTCATTTTCCATGAAATCATTTTAAAGAGCAAGTAATTTAGAAGTTTGTAAGACGACCTAAATGAGATTTACTCCGTGTAGGTTCCTTACCGATGTCCATTTTGAAACCGACTGTGAAGATTAGTCTCGTCGTTGCTCAAAACAGTATCAGAAGCTCAGTCACGTCTGACAGGGAAATGAACTTCGAATTTGTGGCCAAAGTCGATCACCGCGATCAGATTGTAATTTGTTCAATCCCATACAAAGACATCTTCCTAAGGTTCAACGTAAGCGAATTAGAAGCAGGTATGAATATCTTAGATATTCTCAATTTAAAACTGTGAACTCATCTTGCGCCTGAAGGATTTTTTGAAAGTGAGGTTTTTCTTGTTGGCAGCACCAAAACCAGCTCTGCTAAAAGGTTTAGTAAGAGTGTATGCAACTAAACGGTCGCCGAAGGGAAGGTGTTTCCCAGCAGCGTTTGCTTGTGCTCTAGACAACTTTGGCAAATCCCTCTAGACCCTTCTGGTGTTATAAATATTTGTCGCCAAAAGCGAATTTCACGAGGGATGGTGGAAAATCTTCCCACAATGAATCATACAGGAGTATCCTGTCGAAAACCATAACAACCCTAATTTGAGAAATATTTATCTTATTGGGATAAACCAATGAATGGAATGGTCGGGTCGAAGGTTTCAGCAAAATGCTAATACTGCAATGCAGAAATGATTTTCCTAAAGGTTTCTATTCCAATGCTGGCTTTCAATTTCAAAACCACTGCGATAGGTATCTATAAAACATATGAACCCTTATTCAAACTCACCTAAAATATGAACTGGAAGCACTCATAATGGCACGATGTACATTGAAAGAATCATCGGACACCGATATAACTGCATCACAGAGTAGATTGTTGCGCCGCAGCTCATTTAGAGTATTGAGCGCTTGGTCACTCATTGTGGCATTTAGCGTACGCCCGGGAGTACTTAGCACCATAGGATCATCCATATCCCCGTCATCCATGCTATTATCAACATCGGGCATCACGACACCCTCGTCGTGCATATGTTGATTGTTGTTGTTGCCTAGAAAATTATCACGTGCACGATTCATTAGATTTGCCATAATATTTGTGTGAGTGTTTTAGTGGACGTTGTTTATGAACTTATACTTCCGAGTTTGAGAAGGACGCGCAATGCTAAACCAATTTGTGCCGCCACAAGTGAGCTGAGAAGGATTCCAATAAGATTAGGTTTTAATTGTGCAGCGTTTCTCGTCGCACTGGCTGTCTAGTTGTAGTTTTTGCCGTTGCGCGTTTAATTGTGGACTAGTTTTTCGGTGGGATGAGACGCCTGCAGCGGCCGGTGGTTTGCAGCTCAAATTGTAGGGTGGTTGCTAGATGGCGCACTGCTTCGTTGCATGCGGTGTAGCGTGCGTTGCAATGCTTTATGATCTTGAAATTTTGAAAATATTCGCAATGACTTTTAAATTATCTCTTTAAGATTTTTTTTTTTGTATAAGCTTTTCAGAATGTTTTATTTCGTCACTTAAGTTTTTATTTTTTTAATTTAATTTTATATTTTCTTGTTTATACAACTCTGGGGTTGAATTGTGCCGCTGAATTCTTTCTTCAAATTGATTGGTGGAGTGCACAAGTCGATTGCAGTTGAAATTTTAAAAAAAGTTTAACTTCCGTTAAAAGTTAACCGGATGCGTTAGGGACAAAATTAAGCGATGTATTGAAAAAAAAAAATAAATAAATAATTCTCCGAAAGAAAGGAAAATATTGACGACAAAAATTAATCAAGTATATGTCTACTAAATTGAAACAAAAAACTAAAAAGACTCGATGTCAAAGAAAATGCCTACATTTTTTTTTTATAAATCAAGCAAAGTGAAATGTAGCTCAAAATAATAATTTCGATAATAATTTGGGTATAATAATAAATAAGTGTGGACATTCAATTTAATAACTGCTAACTAGTTTACTATGATTTCCTTTTCTTCTGCATGTACATTAGGGTGCCACAAAAATGCACGTGAAAAAGTAAAGTTGGAATTTTTATGCTCTCACTCCATAGAGTTTTCCATGTATTTTATATGCAGAAAAAACTAGTTTTCGTAGAAATAGCAATATTTTTCGATAGGAAATAATAATACCCAATTACTTATTTAACCATTTTTTTATAGTAATTATATTTTATAGGTCCGCCAAAACCCCCACAAAATGCAATGGGGGGATTAATAAAGAATCTTTAGTATTAAAAAATGGTTAATTAAACGATTGGGTGCTGTTACTGGAAGTCTTCTGAATAGAACTAGAGTTTTCCGATCGAAAAATATTGATTTTCAAATTGGAGAAATAGTCAACCAAAAATGGAAAAATTGCAGACAAATTAGATTCTCGCATTTTTGTGTCAACAATGGCATAATAAAAAATATTTCATATTTCTTTCCACACTTAGTTTAGAAATCTGATTTCCTCCTCTCTTACTTCTTGAAAAAAAGCTCCGAATAACCTAAGTTTTAAGCACTATATCTTTTAATACAAACCACAATATCGCTTTAAAAAAAAATTATTTTCTCAACGGCAAAAAGAGTAACGTCCCGAACGAACATATACAATTGGGGTATTCACAACGGTAAGTATCATATTTAGGGGATTCTCTTAAACTCGTAAAGTCTTAAACTGTGCAAAACTTGTAAGTTGACGAGGCTTTTATGGGAAAAGGTGTAGATAGGATAGCATAAAACATTTAATAAAACTAATAATTTTTTTGCTGAAAAAAATGAGAAGAAACAATGCACAGTACAATACATTTTACAGTAGGCGTGAACTCGCAGTTTCTCGCCGCTGAAATTATTTCAAAAACGAGTATGACACGCAGTCTTGGTCTTTACCTGCACTAAAAATTGTTCAGCACGATTCCTTGGATTTTTTTAATATGCCCCACAAAATTATGTAGAATTAAAAGTGAAGCATTCTTTTTTAAGTCGGATGGATTTCGTAAAAACATAAAACATTATGTAATTTCTCTGATTCGCTTAAAAATTTTTTTATGGCTTCCTTACATGAAATAAGCTAACACGTATTCGATGATTTTTTTTTTCTTCCGAGATATGATCTGTCGAAGTACGAATTTTTTCCTGATTCTGACTAATCATGTACTTCTTCAAATCGTTATATCCCGGGTTTTGCTCATCGTAGAGACTTCATCTTAACGTTATTTTAAAACTAAAGAAACAGGCTTAATATTCCTGTACGTACATATGTATATAAGGTGGGCATGATTGTCCTAAAGCTTACTTAGCTAAAACTAATTCAACTTTTTGAAATTCATTTGCTTAGTGAATACCAGTAATTAGGGATTTAAAATTACACCATCGTAATTCTTGTTTAATTCGCTATAACAAAAGCAGGTTTCAAAAAATGAGGGGTTTTCAAGAACTATTTTAAAAATATTTTTTTTTTTTTTTTATGGCGATATGTTTTATTTTGTGAGTAAACAACTGCAAATATGCACTTTTATGAAAAATCTTAACTTGGGTTAGTTGGATATTTTGCTATGATTTTTTTTTTTTAATTTTTGATCGCTGTATTAAAAAACTGGATTTTCATTAGGATTAAATGACAAAAATGAGAACCACTGGCGTCATTCGATTTAAAATAATAGTAATTTTTTAAATGGTAGAAAAATTTTCATAATTTTTGTAAACTTAATGCCCAGTGAAAATTCGCCATAATATCACACTTTTAAGAGCCGTTTTTTGCAATGTTAATATCAGTGTGCATTTTTTACATCAAGAAACAAAAAATTAAAAAGCAAATGTTTTGAAATAGTAGATTAGAGTTTAGTAGTTTAGACTAAATTTATTCTGAACAATTAGAATAATTTTCTCGTTAAGTTATGAAAAGGAAAGCCATGCTTGTGTAGATATGTACATTAGGCCATACCAACTTACAAGCAAACAAAAAACATTTGTCGCACACCCCCGAGTATAATAAATTTTTGCAAGGCGATTTCGAAAAAAAGAAAATACTTTCATTCGGAAATAACATTTTATTTAAAGAGTTTTACTGGAATAATCAAGACACTTCATACTTCCATGACAAAGCTTTAATTACTTTTTGCGAGCTTCAATTTATTGGCATTACGGTGGCAGGAACTTTGATCTGGTGGGTAGGTACTGGAAGCGGGTACTTGATGTCAATCGTTCCCACGACAGTCGGGTCTACGTAACCGGAACGACCCAGATTTATATCTGGCCAAGGACTGTCACTCCAGCAACACTCCCCCAAAACCCTTTGGGAACTTGTATGCTGCTACAACAACAACAACAACAACTTGATGTCAATGAACATTGAAACAAAATATTGTCTCCTTGTGACACGAAATGCCAAATGTAATGTTTTTTCACGCAAGTTCTTCCATACAAAGCAATTCGACAATTATTTTTTGTATGGAGAAAGTGAGCAACACCTTCCACTAAAAAAATTGCCAAAAATCAACGCGATTTTCTAGCAACTTTAAACTTACACTTTACTATACTAAATTTGAATGGGCTATAAAACTGCATACTTTGAATTTTTTTTAAAAAATCTGAATAAAAAGTTGCAAATCAGTGTGCAAATTTAAAGAATTTTCCTGAGTTTTGCACAAAGTTTAGAGATTTTATAATTACGTTTTCTGGTGTAAAATGAACTATATTTTTGTAAAAAATTATCGAAAATAAATTAGAATAAAAAGCATTGCATATATGGCGAAAAATTCACTGTGCCAATACTTTTGTTCGTCACTGTATGTATGTACATACAGATATGTATGTATATGTTAAATGCTTAAATCTGTTGATGGATCTGCGCAGACTCCATTTAAAGCCGTTGTAGCAGCACAATTCCCTCCACTGTCCGTAGCATTTGTTAAATAAAAGCAGTGGTCCAAGGTGAGCGTATACGCAGTACTTATTTAGCAGTCGTTACTTTCAAATACAGTTTAACAATCGCGGTGGGAATACAACCACGGAAAACTTTAAAACAATAAAATAGTTTAGTACTTTTAACAATGTTACTGTTACGCTTAGGCCTCCTACTCTTACTCTCCATAATTGCTGTTTCTACGAGGGAATCATGGCTAAAGCCTGGTTGTCATAAAGTAGGGAATACGCGCAAGATATCCATACCCGATTGTGTGGAGTTTCGCATTACAACTAACGCTTGCCGTGGCTTCTGTGAGTCATACGCAGTGCCGTCAATACCCTGGGGCCTGGCAGGACCGGGAGTATTTAGACCGGTAAAACCGGTTGTTTCGGTGGGTCAATGCTGTAATATAATGGAATCGGAGGAAGTGAGTGTTTGTGAGGAGCCAGCACATTAATTAAATTTTTAAAACTCGGTAATTTTTTTCTTTTGTTTCATAATTTCAGGTACAAAAACGTGTGCTGTGCATGGGTGGTATGCGTAACATAACTTTTAAATCAGCAGTATCCTGCGCTTGTTATCATTGCAAAAAGGATTAAATATCGCTCTACGCAAAAAATTGAGTGGAAAAAATGTGTTAAAATGTGATTTTTTTTTATAAGTGTAATAAGTTCAAATACACTCTGAGTCATGCCTTGTTGAAGATTATGCATATTAAATAAATATTTAGCATTATGAAAGGAAAATGCTCAACTTTAATGTTAACGGCAGGTTAATTCAATTTTAAAGTGATTAAACAATAATTTATTTATTAAACATTTACATATTAATATGGATCGTTAGAATAACCGTGTTACAATAATCTGATAGGCGTCTGTTTACCTTAAATAAATTTAAAAGTATTTTTTATGATGTGCTTCAAACTAAAGTCATTAATTCGCTTCACAATTATTTAAACTTCTGCTAGCTTTCTACACAGTCTAAAAATATTTCGTTCTAAAAGTAGAAAATGTGTACTTACATAAAATCCAGTTTGTTGTTGCACAATGAATTTTTATTTGCGTGAAAATGGTTTCAATAAAAATTTGTAAAAAAAAAACTTGAAGGCACTTAATATTTGCAAAACAAAAAACCTCGAGCGCAGCGCATTTCTCACTGCCAGTTCAGAATTTACTTCTCTCATCACTCATTACAACTTCGCGGCTGGTGCTTTTCCATAGCCCACTAATAGTTGTTGCATTTCTAGCAATGCTTCACGCAATGTACACACAAACGTATCCACGTTTGAAGTGTGATTATCACGCCAACAGGTGCATGCCAAGATTATATCATTTTCGCGTGGATTATAACAACATGCGTAACCATCGTCTGCAGCTGGGCCGTACACCATGAATCCAAGATTGGGTGTGGCCACTTGTGAAGTAGATACACGAAAGACTAAACTCTTTACATAACCAGGCGAGTTAAAGAATTCTGGTATTGGTTTATTATTCTCAATAGCCATGAGTTTTAATCCCAACAAATGTCGATCAACACCTCTGCCTTGTAATGCTGCTGTCGTGTATGCACGATGTGCATTTATAGCGGTACGCAATAGCTCGACACGTTCCTCTGGCTCAACGCAAGCGTCTTCCATTGCTTTGGCGAATGCCAATGATTCATTGGAACACGAGCGTATGGTCTCAGTGCGTCCGTATATATAAATACGCAAATGTGCAGACTCATACTGAGCGGCTGGTACTTTATGTAGCCTAGGGAGATAAAAGGAAACAATTGACGTATAGAGCGGATTGTAGTCATGCAAATTTAATGTAATATATTTACTTGTAGTAAGCATATTGTAGTGCAATTTGTATGTAGCTATCTGGGCTGTGCTTTTGTTTCTTCAAGAAACCCTTGCCATAGTCCTTGAAATGCAAAACATTTACGTGCAAATTTTCCGCCAATTCATTGAGGTTCTTCTTAGATTTTTCAATATACTGATTCAAGGTTTTATTGGCTTTTAATTTAAGCTTTTCGGGGCAAGGATAGTTATCACGAGCGCTCTGTTCGTAGTGTTTTTCATTGCATCTGAAAAATAATGAAGTTTTATTTAACAAGTTTAGTAATAATAAAATAAAATATTCTTCAAAGATGAAAATAGGTGTAAAAAAAGTTGAAGTGAATAAGCAAAGGTTTGTTGGTCTTCTTTGTGCAAAATGAAGACATATCTGTCCATTATGAATACCTACGTACGGTTGAAAGTTGTTCCTATAGCCGTGCACCATGCCTGGTCGACGAAAAGTTGGGGGAAAATGTATTTTTGGATTCGATCTTGCAGGCTTGACGCAAAAAGGTATAGCGTTAGTGCACTTAAAGGAAAGTATCGGAATAGCAGTACCTCCAAAACAGCCACTATTCCTGGCAGTTTGAGGGAAAATTGTTTTCCTCAAGTTGATGGCACAACGTAAGGATTTACTCGACGCTGCCCGCTTACCCTAGCCATTTCAACATCTCAGTGGTCATTTAATGGCAATTAGTGCGCGCGCTTCTTTATATATAAAATTGGTCTAACCGCTTTTTAATAGGAAGTATTGCAATAAAAATATATGTGTATACAGTCATTTGAAAAATAATAGGGACACGACATTTTGGCCGCTTTTAACTTTGAAGTCTTGTAAGTTTTACAACAACAAATAACTTTTTATTAAGAATTTTTTGGGGAATTCTAAATATGCAGTTTTATAGCCCAATAAATTCTAGCTTAATAAAGTACAAGTTTCAGGTGACGTTGATTTATGAAAATCTTTTTTTTTTAATTTTCTTCCATGCAAACAAATTTTTCGAACATAAAACTCAACGCGAATTCTTAGGCACTTGAAAGTTGCACTTTAATAAGCGAGAAGTGGATACTTAGAATTTTCCTAAAAATTCTTAATAACATTTTTTTTTGTTATAAAATTGTGTGGAACTTTTGTACAAAGTTTGAAATGTAGACTTATATAGTTTTTGTTAGATAATGAGCTGCATGTTTAAAAAAAAAAAAATTATAAACATTAAACAAACAAAAGAAAAATATCAAAATGTGGTTAAAATGTCATGCCACTATTTTTTTGAACATTCTATTTATGTATGTATACTCACAAATTGTTGGTTACATAGTCGGTGATGTTGGCAATTGGTTGACCTTCAGCCGGTGAGTGTTCATAACAAAATCCGCTCATGCCATTGCGATTCAGTATTAGCTACAAAAAAATATGAATGATAAACTCACTTTCGTACACTTTAAATTTAACAGCTAACTTGTATTGTTTTATCCATCCAACGATTGGCGCTATTTAACTTTACTCCACCGCCATGTATTAACTGGCCACTTAACTCATTGAAAAATTGGTCATCTGCAACATCGAAACACTCATCCAAAGATACTGTAAATAAGGCACTTTGTATAGTTTTCACCAGTTCCTTGTTACCATCGATTTTCAGGAGCTCTTCATAAGCTTGCGCCCAATTATCGCGGTTATCAGTGGATAAAACGCCAATTTCCACACCCTTTTTAGCTTCAGCTTCCATAATGGTCTTGAATTGTTTCACCAATATATCCGGATGCAAGGCCACGCCATTATTATTGTAGATTTGTACTTTGTAAAACTGTAAGATATTAAAAATATTAAAAAAAAAAAAAAAAATTATGCAGCATCTTTAACTATTTCTGAACATACATGATTTTTGTACAACACCACTACATGCAGTGATTTAGGATTGTATTCCAGTGCATCTTCGACCTTCTGTGGTATACGACACGTGCCATAAACTTTGCCGAATTGCGAATTGTCTAGCTCATACTTGCCCATTTTCAAAACAGGAATTTCACCGGCATCAATAATTTGCTTATAGCGTGCCATGCTATAAACAACCTTGCCGGCATAATTTAGAAAGTCTTCATCATTTTCAAAACGTTGTGGTGGAAATGTCATGCCTGGGCTAACAAAAACGGTAACTGGCGCGCGGTATTGCAGATAAGCTGCACGTAACCAGCGCTTAGCTAACCAATTTTCTTCGCATATCGCTGCCTTTTCTAACAGCTTTTGCAATTCAGCGCCTTCACCGGCCTCAAACTTCTTGATTGCTTCCTTAGTTTCAACAAGTTCGCAAGCATTGATCACCGGCTCGACGGTTTTTAAAAATGTTTCCAAGGTATCTTTTAGTGGAAATGCTGGATAACGTAACAGATTTTGTTTTTGTGGGCCTTCAGAAATGGAGTAAAAACGGGCGTCGGGTAAACTTTTTTGGACGGCAGCGGCAATACTGGGCAGCGGAGTCTTCAACGACGACGCCAATACGGTTTTAGTCTAAATGGAGCGGGAGAAGTATGTACAATATAATTTGCTTAATGTTCATTTTCTCTAATTTTTATTTAAATCGTACTTACTAAATTCATAGCGACACGTCGCGCGATAAACTGCATTTTGTTAACTTGGTCGGTGGTAAATTGTTGTGCCCAGTCCGGATTGCTTTTGAAGCTGTAACATAAAAATATGCAAATCAAATACAAATCATATACAAATATACAAAAAATATTTTCTATAGTTGTCAAGATATAATTTTTTACTTTCCCTTTCCAACTAGGTATTTAAAAGTAATGAAATATTCACCTTTGCCTTTTGTGCATAATCACAGGTGTACCGAGAGTTAATAGAATTGAGATTAGCAACTAAAATGTGTTAGAACGTAGGCGAATTAAACACTTTTATAAGATTGGTTAATTTAATCAAAGTGGCGTACCACGTAGTCAAAACCTTTAAACTAGTTTGTGTACGCTGCTTGGTAGCAGTGGTTGAGCAAACACTTTTCGTCGCTTCACAAACTCGTCTGAATTTCAAAAACAAAACTTGTTTACGTGAATGCGAGGTTTGGCCACTGGTGGAGTTAATTTATTTAATTTTTGTTCTTTCTGTTCCATGCACAATTTACCACAAACATACATACATATCTCTTATCAATAAAGAAGTAAATGAGCGGAATCCTCTAATATGAAAACAATGCAACTGGACTTTTACCTAATCAACTGAGCGCAATAAATTTTTTATTTGTTCATGGTTTTCTACAGATTGGCAATTGAGCATATAAACAAAAAAAGCAAAAGCAAAACGAAAACGAAAACAATTAACAATCAGCTGTTCTGCCGCTTATGATTACCTTTTGTTAACTAATGCACGCAAATGCTAAAATTGCATTTTAACCATCAGACGGTCTTATTACGAAAACGTTTGTATATTTTTCCACTTTCGTAACACCACTTTATAACAATTTTTTATAAAATTTCCTCAACTCTCCTATTTTTAATTCGCAATTAATTTTCCAAGAAATTGTGCCCTCTTTTAATTTATTTGAAAAAAAAAATAAACACTTGTTGCTTCAAGGGCCCCATCTGGTGTTAAATAATTGCGGGTTGCCAAACTTTGTTTATTGGTGTAAGTCTATGCTATGTTGTGGAAGTATAGCGCTAAAAACAGTTATTTTGAAAAACCATAAAAATCCTTATGATGTCGCGCAAGAGTTTTGCTTTTTGCGTAGTGAGCGGTGTATGTGGGGACCACGAACAAGAACATGGTGCTGTTAGGACCGTTTCCGTTTACTGGGCAAATGCTGCCCTATGGAATTTCGGTCTATTGCACAATCAAACCGAAGCTAAAATAAGATAAAGCGGTAAAGCAGAAAACTTCCTTGTTTTTGGGAAACAGTGTGTTTGATAACAAAAACAGTATCTACTGAGTTTGTAGCATCTTCAAGTCAGAAAAGAAGAACTCTGTTGGTCCACCAACTTTTAAGAGCACCTGCCTTCTAAGAATCAAACGCTAGTTTCCAGTTGACAGTAGCTTTAAAAAACTATTTATTAAGGAGAGCAGTATTAACAAACAATTCAATTACTGGCAAATATGGTTCTTACTTTGGTTTTCCGATACAATAAAATAAGTATAATATGCAAAGAAAATGGTAGTTCAATTCAATTTCAGCTATCGTCGCGTTGGTGTACATACACGCCGAAGGTTGTATTTTAATTGTCAATTTAAGGTTGCCACACTTTCACTTCTCGTTTTAATAATAAGGCGGTGTTGCAACATTCTTCCCCCCGGTATAACGACCCTGGTAAATTAATACCTTATGACGATGCAACGTCGCCGCTTGTCTCTCTCTTCACATCGAGTACCGCGATTTTTGCTACTGGACGGTGATATTCACCAGCCGGTGTGCGTATTATTGCGCTGCGTACCTGACCATCCTTTCCTGCAAACGTGTTCTCCACAATGCCTTTAGGCCACGAATAGCGAGGTAGATTTGGGTCAGCAATGACTACTACGTCACCCTTTTCAATCGGTTTCACCTTGTCGAACCATTTGGTTCTCCTAGTCAGTGTCGGCAACATCTCCATCACCCACCTTTTCCAAAATTTGTCTGCCAAATACTGAGAATGCCGCCAGGAACGCCTTACAAATTGATCTACGGAAGAAAACTGGCCTAGTGGCTTATGTCCAGAGGAACTTCCCAGCAGAAAATGGTTAGGAGTTAAGGCTTCTTGTTCTGCGGTCTCTAGAGACAAGTATGTAAGTGGGCGACTATTTATAATACTCTCGATCTCTACAAATAAGTTGTACAATTTTTCGTCGTTAAGTTTTGTTTCCGGTGTCACGATACGGTATAGAACGTCTTTGAATGTTCTGATCATACGTTCCCAGGCGCCTCCCATATGAGGGCTTGCTGGGGGAATGAAAGTCCACTTCATCTCCGCGCTCGTAAACTGTTCTTGAAGATCGTGTAGATTAATTTGCTGTAAAGCTTCCCGTAATTCCTTTTCTGCTGCTACAAAATTTGTCCCGTTGTCAGTAAACACATGTATAGGTATTCCTCTTCGACTCATAAAATTTCTAATAGCCATTACACACGAATTCATGGATAACGAGTACGCCACTTCAACGTGTATAGCTCTACACATCATACAAGTAAATAAAACTCCATATCGTTTCTCCGAACGCCTCCCAATGGTAACCAGGAATGGTCCGAAAAAATCTATTCCAACAAATGAATATGGTCGTGTATACGGGGATAAACGTGCCTCAGGTAACAAACCCATTTTTGGTGGTACTGGCTTAGCATGGTACAACTTACAGTATTGACAATTGTGACGCACTGTGCGTAATGCACGACGCAAGCTTGGTATATAAAACCGCTGAAACATTTCGTTGATTACAGTCTCGTGGTGGACATGCCTATATTTACGATGATACCATTCAATAATCAGTTGTGTAATTTTGTGGTTCTTGGGTAATATTATCGGATTTTTGACTGCATCCTTAATTGGTGCATTCTCTAGGCGACCACATCGACGTATAAGGCTGTTTTCGTCAACAAATGGTGTCAGCTTTCGTAAAACACAATGTTTTGGCAAGTTGCAACCTGGGTCACCCTTAAGCAACTTAAACTCTTCAAAATATGCATCGGCCTACGCGAGCCGATAAAGGTGGCATTGACTCCAGTATAGTTCCTCGGTGGTTAAGCTTCCGGATCCTACCTCCGAGCTGGTTAATCCTCGTATCTAGTCTTTACATTTATCTGCAAAACGTTTAACGTATGCCATGCACCTCTCAAGACGTTCCCACTTCGAAAAACGAGTTGGATCGATGAGTGGTCGGCTCTCTATATGAGCGCCAATATACTCTACGTGCGGCTTTAAATCAGCATCTTTGAAATGTTCCATGTCAATATCATAATTGTATTTAGGCCATTTTACACGCGGCGAATGTAGAAATTCTGGCCCAGACAACCAAGTACTGGTTGGGCTAAACTCTGTGGTACTCTTCCACTTCGTGGCAGCATCTGCTACATTTAATTTTGATGGGATGTAGCTCCATTCTGTAACGTTTGTATGCTCTTGAATTTCAGCGACTCTAAACATAACAAATTGTTTGTACTTTCGTGGGTCTGATTTCAGCCATGTAAGCACTGTTCTCGAATCACTATAAAAATACGCTTTATGAATCTTGAAGTCATGACCCTTAGTGATTTCAGTAGCAAGACGGGATCCCAGTACGGCGGCGAGTAGTTCCATGCGGGGAATTGAGATAGGTCGCAAGGGTGCTACCTTAGTCCTTGAGCTAACATGAGCAACCTGAATTTCGTCTTCCCTTGTAATCCTGAAGTAAGCCACCGCTGCAGTTGCCACCTCGCTAGCGTCCACGAATACGTGCAATTCTATCTTGCAATTATTGTTTGACATCTTACCGAAATAGCATCTGGGAACCTGAACTTGTTTGACCTGCTCAAAAAAAGATAACCACTGCTGCCACGCGTTCACATACTCTTCAGGAATTTGGTCATCCCAATCGATACCACTTCGCCAAATGTTCTGTAGCAAAATTTTTAAACGGATAGTGTAGAATGATAAGAACCCTAGAGGATCATAGACTGACATGAGCAATCGCAGGATTTCTCTTTTAGTTGGCAGCTTTTGTCCGCCTAAAATCTCTTTGCCTGCTTTAGTGAACCTTGTACTGAAGGTAAACACATCTACACTCGTTCTCCACCATAACCCGAGTACCTTCTCTGGCTCTATAACTTGGTCGATCGTTTTTCCAGCGGTACAAAAATCGTCACTTGAACCAGCATTTCCCAGGGCGCCAGCTACATGATTCGAATTAGTAAGCCATCCTCTAATATGGAAGTTGCCTCGTTTGTGCACCTCAATCACGTCCTTGATTAACTTGACAGCCTCCTCAGCGGTTTCAACACTATCCAACATGTCATCTACGTAATGCCTGTCTTTTATTGACTTAGCAGCTCGTGGGAACTCGTCGGCATTCTCCCTCGCATTCCTACTACGAACGTACTGGGCGATTGAAGGTGAACAAGTAGCACCGAATGACATAACCTGTAACACGTATGTGTTTGGATCTCGACTCGAATCACAATTACGCCAAAGAAAGCGCTGAGAATGCTGGTCCTCATCATGCACACTAATCCTGTGAAACATCTCGGATATATCACCACAAATGCCAATTTTTCCTATACGAAAGTTGAACAGTACATGTATCAATGGTCGCTGTAGATCCGGTCCCTTCTCGAGGCAGCAATTGAGAGACCTTCCCTGGTGCTCAGCTGCTGCGTCCCATACAACTCGCGTCTTATTGGGCTTGTTTGGATTATTCACCGCAAATATGGGCAAATACCATTTACGTTTAAAATCTTGATTAATTTCGTTATCGCTGAGCTTCCGGATGTATTGCTTTTGTTCCATACTATTTATTAGGGAATTTACTCGATTTTTTAAATCGTCATCTTTGTTTAGCTTCTTCTCGAAACAGACAAG